CTCTGTGATACAACTTTTCTGGTGAAAATAGCTTTTGAGCATAGTGAGACTTGATTTAATAAATATGTTTAAAAATATATTTATTATAGGTGACCACCAAAGGCTTTGCTCAGTATGAGCTCATGAGATCTACTGCATTGGAAGACACAGTTGTAGAATCCGAGAGTAATATATATGTTGATATTACATGGAACACTGTGGACAAGATTCTGCAGACGCCTCCTCTCACTTCAACAGGAACATTGGTAAGCTTGATACGGGCTCTGGGTCCACTCAACAGGGGTGGCCCTGATGCCCTCTGGCAGCCACATGACTGGCTTTTCAGGGTACTCTCCATGCCTCGCAGATGTTACTTTTGATCCAGACATCAGCTTGTATGGGTTTCAACCCTTTTGGCTTTGGCCAGCTGGTTGCTTTAGCTGGGGACTCCTATGCCTTGATCCACTGGCTCTGGCCCTGTTTCTCAGCCCTGGCCTCTCCTCAGTCATGCTTCACTCTGTCAAGGCTCAAGCTCTGGCCCTCTTGGCCATTAGCCTGCCTGTCTTGCCTTTGGGGTGTAGGCTTTGGCTTCCTCAGCCCTTAGCCTGCCGCTGTCTTGCATTTAGGACACAGACTCTGGCCCTCTTGGCTTTAGCCTGCCCCTGTTTTGTCATCTGTACACTCAGAACCTGGACTTCCACCCAGTCCTCCTTCGGTGGTAGTCGTCTCTAACATATAGAGTCAGGGTAAAAAAAGGAAGAGAAAACCCAGTCCTTCTGGGGACCTACAAAACCAAAATCAGATGGAACTCAGAATTGTCCCCACCATGGGGTAAACTTAAGGAAAGCAAAAGAAAAAGAGGCTTCTCCACCTGCATAATAGGGCTCTCCTCACTGTCCTCTCCTAAGCCCTGCCCCTTCTGGCCAGTTTACCCTGTCATACCCAGAGTTCTTTCATTGGGCAGTTCTGCCCTGCTTGGGTTTACTGCACCTGCTGTAGGGCCACTAGTGACTGTGGAAACCCTGTCTCCATTCCCTGTATTCCTGCATCCCATTTCCTGTCTCTGCTCTCAGTTCCCCCTCTCTGAGCCACAAAAACTCTCTCCTTAAAGACCTTTGCAGGTCCTGTCTGTCCCCCAGCCTTTTCCCAATAACAGGATGAGGGTTTCCTGTTACAAAGTGCAACATTCCTGTCATTGTTTCTTATGAGTATTGCAGAGCACAGAAATTAAGCTGATTTTTAGTGGTTACATTATTTATTCAATTACTACATTAGCAGAAAGGTATGTTTATAACTTCAGTATTAAATTCTGTTAATCTAAATTCCATCAGCTAGAGTTTTAGCAAACTTTAATTTCAAAGTCAGGGTCTGATGTGGCATTTCCAAATTTTCAGAATATCAGGCTGGCATTGGGAGATCCCAGGAGTCCTATATACCAGCTATATAGAGAACTGCAGTTTCTCCTGGTAAGTAAATACATGAGATCCTCATTTCAAATAATTATGGTTGTCTGTATATCAGGAATGAAATCTCCATGCTTCAGTTGCCTATTTTGTATGGAATTTCAGAGCTATCTAAAAGGTTTTTGGAAATGATATAAGCATGCAAATTGCAAACATTTTCCTGCAACTTTAGGAATGTGGAATCAAGCACTCTAGTCAAGAAATCTCAGAAATTTATAATCCAGTGTTAGTCTGATAGGATTTCATGCCACATTGTTGATGCATCCCAAATTCAAGGTTGCATCTCAAATTCTTAATGGTAGAAGTTTCATACAGCACTTAATTTCGTTGACACATTTATGTTCATTTTTGTATTGTATGCTATATGCAAAACAAACTAAGTTAGTTATTCTGGAATTTTTATGCTGCTAGGTTTTGGCTGAAGGCATTAAGACTGGTGTGACTGAGTGGCCAGAGCCTTTAGAAGCTGAATCACCTGTTGAACTTGTGCAGGAACTTCTGGATGGTATTTGTTTAATATGAGAAGCTATGATTGGGTGAGATTGTAAAGAGGAAAGTAAATTCTTGTAATCACTTTTTTTTTGTTGAAAAGAAATGGAAAGAGGCTTGAAATTCCACATAAGATATTAGAATTGGAAGTGCTAACTTGTAATGTGCTGTGGTTCATAAAAAGTATTCCAGAAATAGGCTACTGACTTACTCCATACACCTAATGCTTCTGGTGAATGTACAGTAGTCTTTCCACCTTTGTGGAGAGTAGGAGGGAAAATCAAATTAAATAAAAATAGGAACTGTTTCTAAAAAAACCTGACAGATTGAGAGGTCAGAACGAACACGTAGCTGATACTTTTCAAAAGTGACCGATTTTTTTGGATGCCGTGATAATTTTTTTTTTAGTGCCTAACTGAATTATGACCAGCAAGCACAAAAGCATCTTGTTAGAAAATCTAAAGCAGGGGTAGGCAACATTTTTTGGCCAGAGTGCCTAAAAACTCACAATGTCTACCTTGGAAGGTGCCGGAGTGCCGACATGCCAGAAAAACAAAATTGTGGGTGGGGGGAGTACATGGCAGGACGTACTGCATATTAGTATATTTAATAATCATAAATGTTGCCTTTGTTGTTCTGTACTTTTTTTGTTAAGGATGTTGCAGTGAGAGAAAAAAAGAGAAATAAGAGAAAGAGGAGAGAGAGAGAGAGAAAAAAGAAGAGAGAGAGAAAGGAGAGTAGAGAGAGAACCAGGCACATACACATGCACACAGAGAACCACACACACAGAACCACATGTGCACAAACACAGAGAACCAGAACAGACACATGCACACACACATCCAGAACCAGACACGTGTGCACACACAGACACACAGAACCAGAGGTAGACGAATATACAGAACCAGATGCATGGGTGCACAGAGCCGGGCTGCTGGGCCACTGGACAAAGTCCGACCCAACAATGCCCTGGGCCTGCTGGAGCCCCTCTGGTTCCCTGGGGAGCCAGCTCCGGCATCAGCTCCATGCTGGCAGTGACTGCGTATGCTCCTCAGAGCGGACAGCGGGAATAGGGCCTGGCCCTGAGACAGTGCAGCCCTACCACTGTCTGCTCCAAGGTGCGTGTGCAGTCACCACCAGCATGAAGCTGATGCTGGAGTTGTGGAGCCCGGCACAGCTGTTCATGGCCTGCTGCTGCTTTCTGCAGCTGCCCAGAGCCCAGGCTGACTACAAACAGCTGTGCTGGGCTCCGGAGCCCCACCATCACCTCTGTGCTGGGAGTGGGGGAGAGACCAGCGTTGCACTGCTTCAGGCCCCTCCCACCACCCACTCTGAGGCACGTGTGCACGCACCAGTACAGAGCTGATGCTGGAGCCCGGCACAGCTGTTTGCAGCCTGCCTGCTGCACCCAGCCCCGGATCTGGGTAGCTGCTGCCAACCACGGAGCCCAGCTTGCAGCAGGGCTTGCAGCTTCCTAGCCGCCACCTGGGAGCATCCCAGGCTCTGTAGTTGGCAGGCGCTACCCAGAGCCGTGGCCGGTGGTGGCGTACCGAGCAAAATGGCCTCGCTTGGCATGCATGCGGGGGGGTGCCGACCCCTGCTCTAAAGTTTTCATAAACATAGATAATAGACACTGGATCTAAAACAGGTGCAGGGTGAGTCTTCTAGTATAATACTGAAATTATGTACAAATAACTCTAAGAGGGATATGTTTTTATTTTTGTGTGTGTGTGTATATCTTTATATAATTTGTGTGTTATTTATATATAATTACGCACACACAGTGCATGTAGACATTATTTGCCTCTTTGTTTCTCTGTTTAAAAAAGGTAGCTATAATCTCTGTGTGTGTGTGTGTATGTAGCCTGTCTTATTTTAGACTGCACGCTAATTTGTAGATAATTTCAATGTTAATGCCTGTCCTCTAATCCTAAAAGAATGAATGTGTATTGAAGCAAACCAGAAATGTGGATTAAACAGTAGGAATCAGAACTCATAGCAGAGGTGATATCTTTTATTATACTAACTAGGTATTTGCAAAAAAAATTTCTTTATTTGCAAGCTTTCAGGCACACACCCTTCTTCAGGCATAGGAGAATACAAAGTTTGTAAGATTTCTCCTGGGTGGAACACTTAACCAGTAGGAACATTTTTTTTCACCCTTAGGCTAGAGACAGAAATTACACACAAAATGGTGCAAGTGATAGGAAACCAGTTCCAATCTGTAACACAACAGAAGTTCAGTGCACATAAACCACTTTCAAAATGGCTGAAATGAGTTTAAGATAAACCTGGTTGGATGTAGTATCAGACTGAAGTGATTTAGGTTAAATCTGTGTGTTGAACTTCTGTCCCAGATCCTCTCCAGATTCAAGTTAACTCACAGTCCTCCAGCATCTGAGGATGCTTTGCACCTCCCTGACAAACCTCCCTTCACAGGGTGGATGGTTTTGCCTTGGCCCAAGCTGTCTGCTCCAGCTGAGCAGGGAGGTGTACTCTAGTGCACCCTAGCTTCTGGCCTGGGTCACTACAGGCATATGGTTGCATTTCCAAAATCATAAGTGACTGTCTGTTCAATCAACACAGCTTCAACTAACCTGTGAAGATTGAATCAATTCAGCCTCAGACTTTCTGACTGCCTATACTTAGCTTTAGTGACTAGAGGATAGTTATTAACAAGTTGTGCGTATAGGTGAAAAAACAAATTTAACTGTATTGTTAAAAAGGGACCCTCAAATAGAAACTTATCTAACAAGGACAGTATGAAAATAGTATAACACATCCTGCTATTAAGCAACTTAATAGTTGAGAACAGGAATAATTTATATGCAGAATTTTTGTGATGTTTCTCAACATAAAAAAACCTAGCTTTTTTTTCCTAGGAAGGGTGGGTTACCCACAGCAGTATTATGAAATGTAAAACATATGTAAATACTTGGACACAAAAGAGAAGGGGAGGATTTTTTTTACAACCCCAGGAAGAGGCCCTTAGCAATCCAAATGAATCTTAGTATCCATTTTTAAATTATGGAAACTTAGAGAAGAAATTACAAAGTTGTGTGATAATTGGATACTGTGTGTTAATTTTATTGTACTGTTGCATATCAGGGGTTTAAGTTGTTCAGCTGTACAAAATTTTAATTTTGCAATTCTTTTCCCCCTGCTCTAGATTTAAAGAATAAGCTGGATGGTTTTAATATTGCAGTAATTAAAAATGATCCTGAGGTATGTGGAATTTTCAGCCAACCTCACTTCTTCATTTTTTCAGTGTCATCATACTAGTCTGAAATGGTAGAGTTATTTATGTGTGCATACTGAGGTGTCTTGCTATTTCTGCTAAGTAACAACAATGGAAGAGATTTTCAAAGACACACATGGCAATTTGGTATCTCATTTCAGTGGAAAATGTCACATGTACCTTTTGAAAAATATCCTTCCGTCTTTTAAGCGTTTCTTCCACTCCTTTTTTTTTTAACCATTACAACCAACATTAAAAGCTAATTGGAACCTTATTCGGTGGACATCTGACAGCTCTGAGGGATGGAAACCAATTGGGTTTGCTTCCTTTTTTCCTTTCTTTCAGTCTCTCCATTGGGGTTGCATCATTTTAACCTTCCCTGACTGCCTTCTCTTGCCTCCAGTCTTATGCTGCTGGTACCTTCTTGCAGGAAACTATTTAGATGTGAAGAAGGGCTTGTCTGTATCCCTCCTAACAGTTGGTCCGATAAAAAATATTAGGGCTATACAAAGCTTTGGTCCCTGATTCGATTCAGCAGAGATTCCCAATTTGGTAGCCAAATTGCCGAATCTGAATAGAATCAGGAGACCCTTTAATCTCTCGGAATTGAATCGGAACCCTCCAAATCGATTTGGAGAGATTTGACGATTCAGACATAGATGCAGCTTTAAATTTTTTTTCTACATGCTTCAAAGTACCAGGAGTGGCTCGTGAATGCTGCAGTGCTGGGGAGGATGAAGCACCCCTAGAAGCACGGGGCACTCGCTAGCACGCTTGGCAGCAGACCCGGAAGTTGACTAGAAGCTCTTCCGGTCCACTTCCAGGTCTGCCGAGGAGTGCGCTCCCATCCTCTCCCCAACTCAGCGACTGATGCCTCCTCGGTCGGGGGGGACACCTGGGGTCCCCCCACAGTTGATCACCGAGCCAGGGAGGCACGGGGGGGGCAGCATGCTCCCTGGTGAACCCAGAAGTGGACTGGAAGGACTTCTGGTCCACTTCCGGGTTCACCACCGAGCACATGGTGGGGGTCCCCATGCTCCTGTGGGATGCTCCATTTGCCCCACCATCGCAGCATTCACGAGCTGCCTGCTATCATGAGGAATGTAGAAAAAAATATTTAAAGCTGTGTCTATGACCGAATCACTGATTCTGCGAATCAACGAATCAAATCACTGGCCTTGATTTGGATCAAATCCAAATTGAATATGGCCCGCTTCGCACACCACTAAAAAATATTACCATCACGGATCCTTGCCCCTCACCCCAACCCTACCTTTGACCTTTTTGACAGTTTAATAATGTCACGTGACTTCACGGGGGCCTTTCTGCAGTGACATGACAAAAATGGCTTGCACCCTCTGCAAATCCTGTTGAGGGATGGGGGCAGGAGGTGCAAGAGTCCTATCTAGTACAGTCCCTGGAGGGAGCTGCTGTTACTGCCACTGCTGCTGGTTCTGTTGTCACCACTGCTGCTACTGTCACATGCTTTTCCCATCCCCGTTCTTGTTCTTAAAGCAGCAGCAGCTTGGTGTGTGTGCACCAGTTCTTGATGCAAGAGCAATATTATGTGGGGCTGCTCTTGCTGCTGGGGATGGCAGACAATTTTGATGCCCCTCTCGCCTGCCCCTACTTACGCTACTGCCTGTCTGTCTTTGCTAGTTCTGGTTCAGTGGGGAGAATGAAAGAGGTATGACATATAGTTCTCTGTCATGCTTTGTGCTATTATTTTAATCCATTAAAGAAATTCAGACCATGTTTTAAAGTCCTTTCTGAGGATACTAATAGCTTAAGTCTCTTTTCCTTCAACCCCACAAATAGTCCAGACTTTTTTCTTATTGTAGAAGACTTCAGTCAAATAAGTGCATTTTCCATTTTATTCTGAAGACTGGTAAAATATGACTGTATACCAGCAAAGCTATACACTTTTGTCCTAGATCAAGAGTACAGGAAAACAACCATTTGCTTAGAGTAGAATTGCAAGATATATATATGAAAAACAACACTCCCCCTGAAAAATAAAATGCATATCATCTGTAAATTCTCTGCAGCAGGTGGGGCATTCAGTACCAGTGTTTCTCTGCTTTCATCACTGCAGCAGTTATGCTATTATTTTATAGTTACACTAATACAGCTAATCATAAGGCATGGCAGAAGGACAGGCTCGAGGGAGACAGACTGTTTTTACTCATCCTGCATAAACAGTCTAGTCAAACCCTACTTTGCGCTGACTGAAAACGCTTCCTCTGATATTCATCTTGTTCTTGTGGCTGGGAACTAGCCTTTTTTTAAATGTTAGGACAGTAGCTAATCCCTAATTTAAGACTTAAAAAAATATTATTACTATGAAATATCAGTTTGTAGAACTACTGCCTGGGATGGAGAAGAAGAAGAAATCTTGTAATTAGGCTAGCCTGTTGGAGAGAATATGGATTTATATGGACTGTTGAATGTTAAGAAATGTTAAGCTTTTCTTTTGCAGTAGTTTTTTTGAAGTACACCTCTTTTTCAGAAAGTCAAATGTGACACTGCTGCAGTGGACAGTTCAATAAAATCACTCTTTAGTGAGCGAGGTGACCTAGATTTTGCTGAACAATTGTGGTGCAAAATGAGAAGAAGTAAGTGTATTGCTGTTTTTCCCACTGCTCTGTAAATTTGTACATTTTTTGTATTTGCTTTTATTTGGGGAGATGGATGTAACATTTTTCCCAAGCTTTAAAGACTTATTGACTCTTCACAGTGGTTATTTTTTAAAAGGAGAGTGTTTCATCAAAGATGGCATCCTTTAAACTATGCTTTAGGAAAGGCTGCTGAATTGTAAAATTTCTGGTATGTATTTTCATTTTGCCTAATTCACTGTTATTTTTATAATCAGTTAGTTCTTTATCTAATACATCTTACCGTGTTTCAGGAATTTATTTAAAGTAGATAAGAGTTTCTGAAAACCTATTTGCAGTCATGGAGTCATACTAATAATATCCATTATTACTTTTGGAATATCATGTGAGAGTAATGGCATAGAAGTGGCATTTTCACTTGTGAGGTTGACTTCAATATTGTGGCTATTTCTTTCCCATGTGGATATTGCCATCGTAATCAATGCCTTGATAACATCAAAAGATGACTGGAAAGGTTTTCTACATCAACATGCTGTACTCAAACAGTATCATCACCTGAAGACCTCTTCTGATGCATAGTACAAATATTTGTTTCTTACATCAGACAATGAAGAGGGTATAGTAGCTTTTACAGAGCATCTGTAAACATTGGTATCTGTTCATTAGGCCTGCGCGAGCCGGTAGCGATCCGATCTGGCTTCGGATCTGGTTGCTTGGGATGGCAGTGATCCGACCTGGAGGTCCAGGCCGGGTTTCCACCTCTATCTGGCTGAAGCGGCTCTGAAGCTACGGAGCCACCTCAGAGATCTGGCCATAGGATATAATGGGGAAATCAATGAAATATCTATAACTTTGTTGTTTTCTGTCTGATTTGGATGAAACTTGCAGGGATGGTAGCCTCTGCTGAGAGAATGAAACCTGTAAAGGTTCAAGAAGATTGGTGCAGGGGTTTGGGGGGAATTGTACCCCAAATTCTTGAAAGCAAAACTCCTGTCACATCTATATGTTACACCACAGGGGGGTCAAAACTGCAGGGGAGGGAGCTCTTACTGAGGCCACAAAGTCTGCCAAGTTTCAAGGAGATTGGTGCAAGGGTTTAGGGGGAACTGCACCTCAAGCTGCGGACAAGCAAAACTCATGCCATGGGTGACACTGCGTGTTAAGGCGCAGCAGGATGAAAGCTGCAGGGTTGGTGCCTCTGCTGCGGCCACGATGTCTGCCAGCTGTCAAGAAGATCGGTACAGGGGGGTTCTTGGGCCCTGCATCCCTAGCTGCTGATAAACAAAACTTGTGACATGGGGGCAGTTGATTGTCTGTATTGATTCTTTCCTCTTAGCCTGGTTTTGTAGGTGCTAATTGATGGCAATTAACTGGCTACACTGGCTAGGTCCTGTGTATTGAGCTGGTCCCTGAGTGAATCATGATTGATTGATTGGTAACTGGTAACACAGTAGCTTAACAGCCAGGCCTGCAGTAGTGTCTCCCAGGCCCCAAGACAGACACAGTCAGTCCCACAAGCACACGTCACGAGTTTTGCCAGCTAGGGGTGCGGGGCCCCAGAACCCCACTGCACCGATCTCTTCAGCAGCTAGCAGGCATCGTGGCCACAGCAGGGGCCACCACCCCTGCAGTTTTCACCCTGCTGTGCCTTAACACACGCAGTGTTACCCATGGCACGAGGTTTGCTTGTCCACAGCTTGAGGGGCAGTTCCCCCAAACCCCTGTACCAATCTTCTTAAAACTTGGCAGGCTTTGTGACCTCAGCAAGAGCTACCAGCCCTGCAGTTTTGACCCCCTTGTGTTGTAACACATGGATGTGACAGGAGTTTTGCTTTCAAGAATTTGGGGTGCAGTTCCCCCCAAGCCCCTGCACCCATCTTGAAACTTGGCAGGCTTCATGCTCTCTGCAGAGTCTACCACCCCTGAAAATTTCATCCAAATTGGACAAAAAACAAAGTTATAGATATTTTATTGTTTCCCCATTATACCCTATGGCTGGATCTCCAAGGCGGCTCCGAAGCCTAACGAGGCCAACGCTTTGACCCAGATGTGCTGCTTCGGATCCTGAAGCATCCGAAGCTTCTCCGGATCTGAAGCTCTGTCCGAAGCCTCGCACAGCCCTACTGTTCACTTCGATCTGTTGCCTTAACTAGAATTTGAAAGGCCTGACATAGTCTGGGATTTAGCTGAGAAATTACCTCTCTCCTTACGTACTGTTATGCTAGCCATAAGCAGAATTCCTTTTACTGTTGGCTTTTTGGGCCTTGAATTAGGGTTGTTATCCATAGAGGACTACTGGGTAACCTGTTCATGGTGACTGTTTGACAACTTTATGGTGCAGTGGTAGACCTTTTTGTTCGTTTAACATGCATTTAAATTATTTTTAGTCTATTCCTAGCAGCAAAGCTATGGGGGTTTTGAAGCTGCTTGGCATGTTCTGACCAGTATTTTCAGTGAGCTAAATACACAGATGTTTCTGTAACCATTATAAATAAGATACAAAAATACCTTCTTTTTTCCCTTAAGGTGTCACTTCCTATCAAGACCTGGTAGAGTGCTTCACAATGATCATAAAATCTCTCAAATGTGGTGAGATACAGCCATGGGTACGTATGTGCTGCATGATTACATTTTCATGGAAAATGTGTATTGGGTTGCATGCTAAAAGTATGATATAATTACTGTAGAAATGAGGAAGAGTTCACAAATAATGTAGAGTTTGGTTATTAAATTGTTCACTATTTGGTCCTGTCTTCATGGTATCCTATATTGTACATTTCTTGTAATATTATAGATGAAACAAAAAAGTCTTATTTTTTAGATTCATCAAGGGAGTAGCAGTTTACTCAGCAAATTGATTCAACAGTCTTACCATGGAACAATGGAGGCTATTTCCCTCACTGGTATCACTCCAATTAAAATGCTTCTAGAGATTGGTCTGGACAAAATGAAAAAAGATTACGTCAGTTGTTTCATAGGTAAGTGTGCAGTTTCAGGAGCTAGCTGAAAATTTACAGGAAAAGATAATTTTTTTCCAAACAATTCATCACCTTCTAGATTTTTGTTAATGTTAACTTCTCTGATGATCAGTCACCTTGATCTTAATAATATCTACTCTAAAAATTATTTCTTTCCATTTAAAGTATATTCTTTCTCTTAAGTAGAAAAATTAAAGCCTCTCAAAATAGCTGGTTTATATAAGTAGGCTGTAACTTTTCCTTTTGGATCCATTTTTACTCTGAAAAAATCTGGATGTAGACATTGGAGTAGAACAGCAATATTCTGTTTACAGAGCTGTTTTTTGTTTTGTTTTGTTTTTGCATATAATGGCCTCTATCTCCTTAGTTTAAAAAGGGTTTGCAGGAGGGAGGAGAGACAGATAAGAATACTGACAATATATTTTTTTAAGTGTAAGTCATTCATAAATAACACCTTGAAAAAAAAGCTAATGTAAGATTATTTCTAAAAAAAAAAGTTACTTTAATAGAGTTGCAGTTTTCTTTTCCATCCCATTTCCTTTCTTTGTTTCTTCATTATGTGTTTTTTGTTTCCTTATTTGTTGTCACTTATTCTTATTTTTCATCAGGACTTCTCTATTAACCCACTTTTCTTTCCCAAATCTCTACCTCACTGTCAGGTTGCTGCAGTCATTCTCCCTAAGTCCCCTACCTCTCTTCCTGCTGCTGCTACTTCTGTGGTTCTTAAAACATGGATAACATTGAATAGTCATGGTGACCTAACTTGTCCTGACATCTGATACACCCCACTTCTGTTACCCCTCTGAATTTTTGAGGCAAACATGGTCTTTTTTGTGGGAGGTACTTCCAGTCAGTGTTTCTTTTGGTACTTAGAGCAGAAAATACAAAGAGGTGTGGAGATTCGAGTGCACCCTCGGTGGCTTCCCATGCAACTATTTGTCTGAAGTATAACATGTTTTTGTTTGTGGGTTTTTTATTTTTTAAGCATTTATATTTGTTTTACAGGACAGGAACTTGCAACATTAACCTACCTGGTGAGATACTCGCAAATCTTTTATTTGGGAAGCAACATTCTTGGCATATTCTTGTTTAAATTCATTTTTCTCTCCAAATTCCTAAAACATTTTTTTCTGCACAATAATATGTATTCTGCAATAATACCTAGCTCTTAACCTTGTAAATACCTTTATAACCTTTAGTTATAAAGACTTGCATATTTTTCTTTAGCGGTGGTGAGGAGGAGAGTAAAAAGAATTTAGATCAAAGTTTGTGTGTCAACATTAAGTGTCATAAACTAAAGTGCTGCTAGCTCTTGAAAAGTATAACAGAACTATCCCCAGGTTTATATAGGGATTTGTCCCCGAGTTTGGATTTATTTCTCAACAGTGGCTGTGGCTCTTAATTTTTCTTCAGTAATAGGGAAGACTTTTTTTAAAATTTAGCTGTGGAGATGCAGGCTTCAAAACAGTTGATGCTGGTGATAGGAATTAGCTGCTTGTGAATTACAGTACCCCTGAAGATGTTGTCTGACACTTTTCAGAAGTTAGCCAGAAGGTAGGGGAAGGTGGCACCTTAGAGATTGACTTGTTTGGAGAGATATAACTTTTTATAGATGACAGTCTACAATGTAATGTAGCATCTGACAAAGTGGCTGGTCTCCTGAAAAAGCTTGTCTTTCCAAACAAGTTAGTCTCTAAGGTGCCACCTTGCCATGCCTTCTAAATTACTTCTAACATAGCTAACTGTCGTCTTTTTTCAGAAGTTAGTACTCTGACTTGGTGTTTGATATGCGTTTGCAGTGAGCACTGTCAAAACATGACAGACCTAAAATTCTTTTTTTTTAATGTATTCATTCATATTCACATTCTTGACCATGGAAATGTTGTCTTGTAAAATTAAAGTTGCTGTGTAGATAAAATGTCAACGTATACAGTATCTGAGCTTAAAAGATGATGTAGTTGGTAATACTCCTATGCGCAGGGCACTAGGCACCAACTAGTAAAGTTTTGGGCTAACTGACCACAAGAGTGACCTTGAAGAAAGACTGCTAGTTCATTTGTTCTGAAGTATGTATTTTTCTCTCCAGGACTACTTCATTTCCTCATCAGTAGGCCTGCAGGAACAAATTCATCGTGTTCAGAAACTTCACCATATGCTTGAAATCTTGGTCAGCTGTACAGTCTTCCTTCAATTTAAACATGAGAACCTCTTCCCTTTGACACAGTTAGTATATCATTTTCAGTTTTTTACATTTAAATGGATTCTCTTTCTCTCAGAAAAACCCTATACATAATGAAAATGCAAGCTGACACATCTAATTTTATTGAAGATGGTTGTGGCAAATGAACACTGCAGCCATAATGCTGGATCTTCCTATTTGATGTTCCTCTCTGATTTTAATATCCTGCAGTCTTTTCCTACCCATTTGTGAGGGATTTCAGGAAATCGTTAAAATTCTTATTTTCCTTTTTGTTCCTAAGCTGACAGAGATTCTAGCCATTTTTTCACCATGGAACATGTAAAACAGGTACTCATTAGAAAATACATTTACAATAACAGTGAAAACAAGTGAACAAGAAATAGAGATACTTTTTGGTTTTGGAAATTTGCTTTCTCCTTGTAGGTTTGCTTTTTTTTTTTTCCCTGCATGTCTTCTCACAGCTGGTTCAGGTCATGGCTCCAAAAGTAGCAAGTTTTTAGTCTGCTTTGGTCTAAGCTGTTAACCAATGGAAGTATTCTAGAGCAGAGCTTCTCAAACTAGCTGATGTGGTGGACCGGCAATTTTTTTTCCAGTGGGCCAGGGACTGGTGCCAGGTTCAGCTGGTGGCAGCAACTGTGTGTAACAGCGCTACACAAATGCATGACCGGCTGTTTCTTTTTCACAAATGCACGACCGGCTGGTTCATATTTCTCTTGTGGTCAGTCATGACTCCCAAGTCCCTTTTGGCTGTGGTGCTAGCAGGCATAGCACTGCTGAGCCTATAAGTGTGCTGCGGGGTTTTTTTCCCCAGGGTGGAGTACTTTGTATTTTTCAGTGTTGAACACCGTCAGGTGTTTGTCCGCCCATTTTCTAAGCCTGTCTAGGTTGGCCTGGATCACAAGCCTGTCCTCAGGTGTGGACGCTTTACCCCAAAGTTTGGCATCA